AACTTTTTTTTTAACAATAAGTTAAGTTAAAATTAATTTGAAAATTTAATTTAATTAAAATACAAGTTAATAAAATTAATTGAATTAAAAGTTAAGTTAATAAAAATAGTATAATTAAAAAGTTAAATTGGTTCGAACAAACGACCAAATAATAAGAAAAAGTTTGATTACTTTACATAATTTTTTGTATTTTTTCTTTCTCACAGCTTATTTATTGAAAAATCTGATTATTTTTGTTTACAAGTAACAATTATACAATATAAAATTACTAACAATATTAAAAATCTTTATTTTAGACCGCATATATGAGAAACACAATCAATAAAATGCCTATTACGCTCGAAGCTAGATCTTCATTGCTTTAAATAATTTAATCCTGAATTAATATACACTATATATGTACTTTCATATATATCATATACGTGGGTCGTTTGATAAGTTTGGTAAATTTCCATGAAATGGCGCTACAATATCCATTTGATGACGCGACATCTCGAAAGATCCACTCTTCGAACCCCTTCAGGCCAAATTTCAGCCAGAGCATAGTTTACGTTTGGTAGTCATTTGAAACGAGATTGGCGCGCAAAAAAGTGCTCTTCCATCAAGACAACGCGCCGTCCCACAAGTCGATCGTTGCAATGACAAAACTACGAATTGGCTATGAATTGATTCCTCATCCACCCTATTCTCCGGATTTGGCCCCGTGACTTCTTTCTGTTCCCAAACTTTAAAACTTGGCTCGGTGGAAAGAAATTCTCGTCAAATGAGAAAGTCATTGTCGCAAATACTCAATGAGTATTTTGCAGACTTTGAGACAGTCTACTTCAAATGACTACCAAACGTGAACTATGGCTGAAATTTGGCCTGAAGGGGTTCGAAGAGTGAATCTTTCGAGATGTCGCGTCATCAAATGGATTGTAGCACTATTGTATTATATATCATGGAAATTTACCAAACTTATCAAACGACCCACGTATACCATATTGTAGTCTTTTTGAACTGCGCACCGAATTGTTTTTCCGAACTATAAACGCAATTAAAACTACTCTAGTAATCATAAATTAAATTGACAACCAATTTTATTTTTTTTTTAATAATTATCATCAAGCATTATATTATAAAGATGTTAAAACTGATAATAAATAGTAATAATAAGTATATTAGCAATTGAAGATTGAATTATTTAAAGCAATGAAGATCCAGCTCCGTAATAGGCATTTTAAATTTCTAATATAAAATTACTCTAGTATAAAATTATTATCTCTCTCTTATATCTAAAGATTAACTTCAAAAAAATCAAATTAAAAGTTAATAGTTACCAATAAAATGTAATTAAATTAAGTCAAAAAATTAAGAATCTAAAATATAATCTAAATTAAATTAAAATTAATTAACTTTTTAACTTTTAAACTTAATTTTTATCTTTTTAACTTAACATTATCCAATAACAATATTACAACTTCCCGCAGAACAGGTTTTCGCAAACAAAATTTATCTTATCAGCACTCGACAAGAAAGGTTATATTCGTAGTTCGTTTTTATTTCAAAACAATCTTACATAATATTTCAAGAAGTTAATACAGCTCTGTGATTGGTTTATTATAACATCTTAAAAGACTGGACATACAACGATCTTGAATATAAGAAGAAATTGTGAACATCAGTCTTAGTTGTTGCTTAGTTTCTCTTCGCATCGGTGCTTTCATAAAGTTGTGTACGTTAGTGTCGCGCTTATAACACAATGTCCGTAAGTATATGATATTCACGGAAATATTTATTACACAAATATAATCAAATTATAAAAAAAATATATAATGAAAAAATATATAAATATTTATATATAAATATTTAACGTAATTGTCATTCTGTAATAATTATTATATACGATTTATATAATTAATATAAATATAAAATAAAAAAGACACGTATCTCTACTAAAAAATACGCTTAACTGGAGTTATCAAGTTATTGCTTTTATAAATATTGATCCTGTTAAAATCATATGAATTCTTAAGTTAAAGTCACTGCCATACATTATTTCAGAAGTTATCTAATCGTATCACATTAAAATGCCAGTCATTGTGTAAAAACGGTTGTACGAAAAGATTCCTAATAAGATATATCAAAATTTATATTGTAATATTTATTTCCCAATATAAGAAATACAGACAGCGATTTAAATTCCTAGATCTTGTTTATACTATGATCTCCTTATGTACATAATTTCTCATAAGAATAAAAATTATAAAAGGAAAATAAAATAAAAATAAAAAAAAATTCTAAATAAAAATCTAAAATAAAAAAATAATTTAGTTCTAACAGTATACATAAATCTAAATTAGAGAGATCTATTACATTTTATTTCAAAATTCTTGTTCTTTTAATGAATAAAACATTTGGAAATAAAAGAAATTTAAATTTTTTAATTTTTAGATAATTTTGTTGCAGTTTCTTAAAAATTCTTAAACAAGAAATAGAAATTTACCTGAAAAGCTGCGACATGTAACTTTTTTTACATCTAATTTGTTTTTATTATTTAAATTGATTCTTGAGTAAAATACCGAAAATTTAGCCTCACCAGGGCCCATCCAAAATTACAAATAACTGCATAATTTGAATAAAATATTAAAATGTGTATATTTTAATGAAATAATATGGACATACAATAGTACATCTCAAGAACTGGATCTTCATCGAATGAAAATAAGAGATTATATTTATTTTTCGAGATAAATTGATATGCACAAGTTTATTCACATAAATATCTTTCCAAAATAGAAACGTTGAAATCTTATTACTTTTTTGATCATTACAATCATAATTCTCTTTTATTTCATCATTAATCTACTGTAGAATTTTGCACACTTTAAATTCATAAAAAAAAATTAGACATTTCTATGGTAACTCGATTTACTAAAGAATCACCTTAAACAGAAAACAAAATAAATATATAAAGCAAATTAATAGAGAAAGAATTGTATAAATATTTATAAAACATATATACCATTAATGTAAAATTAAATAAAATAAATTACAAAATGTTTTATAATAGTAAATTAATTTTATGATTACAGAGATTACCGTATACTTACAGAGGTCTTATTGTTCCCGTATTTACTTCTTTCAATAATGATGGGTAATTATAACTTGTGTTCTCATAAAATTTAATAATCTAAAATATTAAACTAAATTATTGCCTAATATTTATTTAACAGATCTCTCAATTTGGATATTATACCGCAATATGCAACATACTTGGCAAAGAAAGGGATCAAAGGTTTACTTGGTAAATTATCTTTAAGCTTAATTTTAATTATTAAAATATACACACAAGATGCTTTTCCTATATCTTAAAATGACTATGATCGGTCGCCATACTTTTTAAGATATTTCCTATAGGTTGACAAAAAATGTGTTTAACAAAAGTTTGTTTGATTCTAATAAAGAATTAATTATGTAAAAAATTTCAAATTTGTTTTTTTTATAAAAAGTCAAAGTCAAATTGAATATTTTTAAAATAAAATCATATATTTTTCTGTTTTGTATAAAAAGATAAATTTGTCGATATAGCGTTATATATCATTTGGATTATTTGATTTCCAGCTAATTCATTTAATACTTGCAACATAACGAATCTATCGTCGACTTAAAGCGAAATCCAAACATAAAACATTGCAGTTGTTATATTATAATTGAATCTACGCATAGCAATTTATTGGAAAGTTTGTATTATAAAAGATGCTATGTAGTTTAAACATTTACTTTAATAAAAATATATTTATATAAAAAAATAGCGTCGAATAAACGTATTTCACTTATATATATTTTGGTTCTTCTTTACATGTTTCGATAATTTCTATGTCTGTTCCTATGATCTTGTTACTTTAGGTATCGACAATAGATATCATGAATTATGTTGTATAAATAATAATTGTTTATTCTGAGATCAAATAAACAAAATGGCACATAATATTATAGGTATTAATAGCTTCGTCTTTTTATGATAAAAAAGAATAATAGAAAAAAATACATAATTTGACTTCAAACTTTTATTTAAAAATGGACAAATTTTTACAAATTTTTTTTTACAATTAATTATTTTATTAGAAATCAACAAATTTTTGTTAGAAACGTTTTATTGTTATTTCATTGGAAGTATCTCAATGACGGACTAATATAATATTTAACAATATTATTAACATTATATTAAATTCTCTCACAAGAGTTTTGCATAAGAGATTATTCCATACAAAAGAAAAAAATATACAATATATAATAATTATTCTAAATTGAAATAATAATTTTACGTATTTTTATCTTTTTTTTTATTTTTTTTTATTTTTTTGTTTTTTTTTATATAGTTAATGGCACAAGTGGCGAAGGAACGTCAATGTCTGTTGCTGAAAGGAAACTTGTTATCGAAGCCTGGGTAAAGGCAGTGAAAGAAACAAAGCAGCACCTAATGATTCAAGTAGGAGGCGCACCTCTTCCCAATGTTATTGAACTTGTAAGTATATTATATATGGAGAGGACAGCGGAGAATAACATTCATCCCGCTTTCAATTGAATAATAAAACAAAAATAATTTATAGGCGAAACATGCAAGTAATCTGCACGTGGATTCTATTCTCTGCTTACCAGAATTGTACTTCAAGCCTACCACTCCTAAAGAACTGATTGAATACTTGGAAATAGTTGGCAGGGCAGCGCCAAAG